AAAGCATTTGATCTAACCTGAAGTTATTATAAGGCTTTGTTTCAGCTAATGATGCACACAGAAACCTGTGACTGCGTCTTTCAGCACTAAGATTAAAGGAATTTCAGGCAGCCGGGCTCCTGGGACTCAATTGTTTTTCTTAATTATTAGCTTGAGCTTCGATCTGTGCAGCTCCTTAGGTGAAAACCATAGGCCCTAGCTGTGTAATATTTCTTTGTATATAATTTTATTCATCAAAAATCTGTATAAACTAAAATTATTATCAGTTAGATAGTACAACTTAGGAAGGAATCATCGGCATAATATCTGCAGGTAAAAATGTCCAGTAGAATGGAATGTTTCCCCACAGCCATTCACCATGCCAGATACCAGAGAAAAATAGCAGTAGCAAACACATAAAGGCACAGCAGAAACAAAGACATTCTGGGGTCTGTGTTCTCAGGGTCTTGCCTATCAGAGATTCATCTATCAGGGATTTCCTCCTGGTGTTCTGATACTTTGAACTTCAATTGCCACCTGGTGCTCCTCTGACAAGGCCACAAGCACAGAACCATCTATTGACTGCATGACTTTAAAACAGTGTGTTAGAGACATACAGACCACAGAGGAAGAAAAAGGAACAGAATGGTGTATAACTTGTCCAAGTCATACATCTAATATATCATCTAAACTAAGAAGGTAAGATTCAGACTTGGGCCTTTTGGCATCTTCTTGTCCCACCCTAACACATATGCTTGCTTACATGTGTTCATGCATAAACAGACACACACACACACACACACACACACACACACACACACACACACACACTGAGGTGCTAGTTAACTGGATCAGGGACTGTTGAATTAATGTACCCTATGCAATCATGGGTGGAAACTAGTCTTTAGAGAGAATTTGAGGTAAAATCAGGAAGGATAATGCTTAGTTATCAAATCTAAAAGTTAGGATGAAAGCCAAAGAAGAAAAAGGTTGTGGGGAAAGAGCCCTTAAAGCCAAAGACCAGCATCAGGACAGAGGAAAGTGCTGGCATCAAAGAGGCTAGTCTGGTGTTAGTCTGTCCTTTTGTAGCATGGGTGAGCATGGGTGAACACGGGTAGGCATGGATGGACGTATATGGACATGCTTTACAATCTAAGGAAGCAACTCAGCTTGGTGTGGTATCCCAAAGTTGTGCCAGCCTCTTCCTATTCACACTGGGACTGTGACTCCTTCTGGACCCAGAGGAGGTAGAAAAGAACCAGAAGGTGGAGGATGGATTATGTGTTGAGAGTCAACCTTGGCAGGGTTAGTTTTTATTGAATTACTTTCATATTTCTAATTTTCTTTCTCTTTTGTTCTATTGAGTCAGTCCCATGAGCTTTTAATTTCAGTTAGTACATTTTCAGTTCCTGAAACTTCTGTTAGCTTTTTATGTCTTCTATTTCTTCCCATCCTTTTGCTTGTGTTAAGTATATATGTCTTAGTTCTTATAATAGTTTTGATGATTCCAAAACTGTGTCATTTATGTGCAATATTATCTGCAGAATATATATTCTCCTGTAAGTTTAGATTATTTTTTACCTTTTACTATAAAAGTCATTCTTGCTGGGCAGTGGTAGTACATACCTTTAGTCCCAGCACTTGAGAGGCAGAGGCAGGTGGGTCTCTGAGTTTGAAACCAGCTTGGTTTACAGAGTGGGTTCCAGGACATCTAGGGATACAAAGAGAAATCATGGATTGAAAAACCGAAAAAGAAAATCATTCTTGAGAATTTCATATGGGTGATGATGAAAAATGATCATATTTAACTATGTCTCCACATATACCATCCAACATATCCCCCTCCCAACTCTGTTTCTTTTTTAAAAAAATAATTTTGATAACCAGTTAGTGCTGCCTGTGTGTGAATAGGCATGAGGCTGCCCACTAGGGTATTGGAATCCTGCCAGTGATCATAGACCCCCCTAAAGATATTCTTATTTCCTTAATAACTATCAACTCCCAGTAGCTCCACAGTAAAAGGTGGGGCACAGAGATCATCTACCCCATCTTTGTGGAACTTTGAGTGGCTGGAACCTATGTAGGTGTTTTGCAGTGGCTCCAGATGTTGTGAGATCATGAGTGTATGTCATGTTCAGAAGACAGCGTGTCACAGCACTCATCCCTACCCTCTGACTCCTGCATTCTTTCTGCCTCCTCTTTAGTGACGGTCTCTGAGCCTTTTCGGAGTGGGTGTTGATATAAGTTTCTCATTAGCGCACCCAGTTTCATTTGTAGTGTTTTGATCATAATTTACATTTTAGTATTCTGTAGTTTTTCATACACTGAAGAGGTTTGAACTTACTATTTTAAGTATCATGTTATAAGTCTCTGGGTCTTGCTTAAGACTACAGAAAATGAGATGTAGGCTGGAAAGTTATCAGTTTATTTGGTGTAAGGTACAGATTTCAAATAGTAGTTTCGGGGTTCTCTTGTCACAACCAGCACTTCCAGAAACATTGTGGTGCTGTTTGGAGCCCTGGATGGGGTATGTAGTGGTCTCTCCTGTGGCCAGCTCTCAAAATACTTCCATTCTTTTAAAGGTCAGATCTACCACTCCAGAGAGGACTCTTACTGGTGGGGCTCACCCTCGGTTGGAAATGGTCGTGGAGAGGACCTGTGTGTTTGCAGTGGGATGGAGTGATGAAGCAGGATGGCACCCGTCATCGACCACAGTGCCAACTGGCATGAGAGAACCTGTTCAATGTCGGGTACTGGCTCCTGATCAACTTTTCCTTTGCTCCAGATCAGCCTCTCTTTGGCTTTTCTATTTAAAACATTCAGATATTGTTTATCTAATAGGCAAGTGGGACATATTAAATGACATAAGTAACCTGAGGTGTAATGTCTAATGTCTGGCACATTAGAAAAACCCAGCTACTTTTGAGAATTTATCTGGCCTAATAAAAAAATGATTGAGATATCAGGAGGCAGAATATGTCTAACTTCCTTAATTAGATTCCCTGTCTCATCTGAGTAGTGTCATAATGATTAGGGGCCTCAGTCCTACTCAGTCCTCATCTACATGTTCCTTTGAGTCACAGCCAGGGCTTAGAGGATTCAGATGCTGTTAAGCATCTGGGGCTACTCTGGAAACTGAAAAGCAAGCATACTGTTCCACAGAGTTGCAGAGGATACTGAACAGAGAGTAGAATGCAGGCTGGGTAGCCCTGTAGCTCTTTTTGTGACCATAGGATGAGGCTTTACTGCAAGGCTTTGGGAATCCTTAAGGACATCTTTCCATTCAAAGACAGATGATAAACTGAGTCTCAGTGGATTGCATACCGGTCACAGAGTATTTCATAAGTAATCCAGAGGTTGTTTTAAGTTTGAGGGAGAGCTGGGAGAGAAGAAAGTGGTGCATACACGGTCCCTGTCTACACTCATGCCACCAGACATCTGGATCCTGAATGAGGATCATCACAACACACATTTGAAGTTTATTGTGAATATACAGGTCAGACACACCCATGATAGTTAACATTGTCAGCTTGACTACATCTAGAACCAACTAGAACATAAACTGCTGTGCATTCCTTTGAGGACTTTTCCTGATCTGATTATTTGAAGCTGGAAGACCCTCCTTAAATGTGATCATTACCTTCTGGTAGCAGGCCCGGTAAAAGAACTGTGAAAGAAAGAAACTGTGCCTGCATGCCCCCACTCTTGCTTGTGAGTTCATCTATCCTGCTGTTGCAGCATCCTTCCACTAATAGTAGAAGCAGCTTCTTCACCGAAATCAGCATCCTCCAGCCTTCAAGGCCAAACAAGGACTGCTGAGACATCCAACCTCATAGACTGGACAGCTACCAGTTCTTATCCTTCCCAGTGTGAGACAGACCATATCCTATAATCTAATACAGCACCATTTAATATATATGTATTAATATATATTTAATACTTTGTATATTCTATCAGTTTTATTTTTTCAAGCAGCTCTGATTCATACATACACTTCTTTTGATCCTGACTTAGGCATTACTAATAAAATGTGGCACTCTTTTTCGTGTAGCCTATTTGGAGCCTTAGAACACACCTTATCACAACTATTACAAAGAAATATGAGAGGAAGTTAACCATATATGTCTGGATAGATTTAAATCATCTGATTGCTAGTCTGCTGGGTTTTTGACATATATTATTATTATTATGTCCCTAAAAATCAATAATGGTGGTAATCTAAGGAGAGGTGCTTTGTGGCTTCCAAAGTAACTGAGGACAGTTCTCATCTGCTTTTATCAAGGGCCCTCATCTGGAGGGTAAACAAATCTTTTTCTTCTGGATCATGGGAGGACATTCTAAAATTCTGAGGAGGAAGAAAGGTGAGTTTCATATACTGTAATCAATCTGACATAACTTCCATGCGCTAGAATAAAAAGTTTTCTGGTGGACAGAGTCTTAGAAATATCCATGCATTTGTGTGCTCATGAACATGCTAAACATGCCAGACTTTGTATGTATATCATGCCTGTTGCTCTTGCCCAGTGTTTTGTATGAAGGTGCCCATCACAGAGCAGTATACTTTCCATGCTATTAGAAACATACATTACACACACTGGTGTGTATGCATATATGTATGTGAGTGTATGAGGATTTTACCCACAGTGCTTGCCTCCAACACTGTCATCCTGTGGCAGATGTTGCTATGTGACTTCTTGGCTGAGTCCCCAGCCATAATTAGCACACGTATACTTGCTCTCCATCTTCTGATCACTCATCACTACTGGTAGCTGGGTGCTTGCCAATTAGAAGTTGAAACTCACCATAGTTTCCTGGGGGATCCGATTGTTTGTATCAGTCCTAGGTTCATTCCAGGACCAGGAATACTCCCAAGGATCAATAGGAGGGAACTGACTTTACTATTCGGGATATCTGTCCTAAGATCCCCTACTGGTACCTCTTCTATTCTTCTGGCTCATGTGCCCTATCTCACCCTGATGGGGGATGTCCTTCTGTATGATGTGAATATGTGTTTCTCTTACTGGTTGATGAATAAAACTGCTTCATTCAATGGACATGCAGGATGTATCCAGGCAGGAAGTATCGGCAGGGCTACCAGATGAGGAGAATTCTGTGAAGAGGAAGACAGAGAATAGTTGCCAGGGAGACACTATGAAGCTGCTGAGGAAGAAAGAGACCTGAGCATCACCTGTAAGCTAAGACCATGTGGATATATACAGATTAATAAAAATGGGTTAATAATTAAGAGAGAGCTAGCCAATAAGAAGCCTGAGTCATCTGCCAAACAGTTTATAATTAATACAAGCCTCTGTGTTTATTTGGGACTAAATGGCTGCGGGACCAGTTAGGACAGACACTTCTGCCCACATCATCCATCTAGCAGGGTATAATAAATGCATGCTCTTTAAAGTCATCAACTTCAGCCCACTGCATGGTCATTGTCCTGAAGTAGGGGCCTATGACTGATGGAGATGTTGAAATGAACCACAAGAGATAGTTACTGACAATGACAATGATTAAGTCAATTGAAAGTTTTGAGTCCTTTATTGATGACCAGTCCAAGAGTGGGATCATGCCTCTGGAAAGTCCCTTGGTGTCCAAGTTCAGGGGTACAACATTTTTAAAGACAAAACTGTAATTACATCAGTAGGAGGAGAGCTTATATTAGTGAGGAATTTAGAGTAGCCTAGTAACATCTGCTTTCTTTGCAAGGTTTAGTGGTGTTTTCCAGATACTGCATAATAGGTTTGGACCATGGTCAAAGTCATGGGGAGTTCCAGAAGTATTGCTAAGGTGGAGGTAACTGTTGAGAGTGGAAGTCTGAGAAATGACCAGGCAGACACAAAATAACGTTGGGAAAAGATGGTAATAATTTTGTTGTTTCAATATGAGTCTAGGTGGAGGAGGGATTTCTTCTTCATGATTACTTCTCAATGCTTGCCTACTAACTAACTGCATATAGGTATGGTAATTAATATTCATTATTAATTTGATTAGATTTAGAGTCACCTAGGAGACACAACTCTGGATACGTGGTGTTTCGAGAGATATTTGTTTAGCTGAAGAGAGAAAACCCACGTTGAAGCCAACACTATCCCATGGGCTGGAGTTTCAGACTGAATAATAAGGAGAAAAGGAGAAGGCCAGCTGAACACCAGGATTCATTTCCCCTGTTTGATGACTGAGAATATAATGTGACCAGCTACCTCCTTGTACCTACACCAGAATGATGACTGTGTTCCTCTGAATCTTGAGCCCAAATGAACCCTTCTTCTCTTAGGTTGCTTATTGTCATATATTTGGTCACAACAAGAGAAGCTAATATAAGGCAATGAAATATGAGATAGAAGTTGGGTATCAGTTAGGAACAGGGCTGCCTCCTCTGTGGTTTGCATGCTTTGTTTGAGATTGATATAACTACAATTAAAAATGTGCTGCCATTCATTCAGTTCAGTACTTATGAGGCACCTCTATATGTCAAGCCAAGTCTAGAGCTCATTTGCTAAAAGAATGTCACAGTTTTGGGAGTGATAAAATGACCAGGGAGCTAGGGCTGCCATGGAAGTGTACCACAGACTGGTCAACATAAGCAAAAGAAATAGCTTTCTTCATAGTTCAAGATCGTGGCAACAGTGGGGTCTGGGAAAAAGACATATACAGCTGGATGGAAGAGAGACACATGCCTGTAATCCCAGCCCTTGGGAGGAAGAGACATGCAGATAGATCTCTGTGAGTCATGGGCCAGCCTGGTCTATACAGTGAGTTTCAGGACAGCCAGGGAAGTTGCAAATTCATTTTCTTGAATTGGTATAAAAGCAATCTAACAAGGCTCACCAGTATCAAACAAACCATGAGTAAACAGAATTGAGGTTTAAAATAGTTACCGATGCTCCATGCCTGACCTGCATATGTCAAAGTTCTTACTCAGTGGTAGCCCCCATTTCCATCCCTGTTGTCCAAAATACTCCCCTAATACAGCTGGGCATCCCAGGACTGTACTACCCTGTACCCCTCATTTCTGAGGTTATTGTCTTCAGTTTACATCCTTTCCTCAGAAATCCTATGGCCTAAAGCTTACTTTTCTGGAAACTTGGCAGCCTTCTTGAGCAGGAATAGGCCCTTTATGGTGCTTTCTCTTTGGTTAGAAATGAAGCTTAATCTTAATTTCAATTTAGCTGGACTGAGAAATATCTAGAAAGTTGGTAAAACTCATTTCTGGGTGCATCTGTGAGAGCATTTGCAGGATCAACTGGAATTTAGGTCAACACCCTGAAAGGAAGATCTACACTAAATGAGGGATGTACATCCATTAGGCGGGGACGTCATGGATGGCAAGGAGAAGGGATGAAGGGATGAGGCCAGCCTGTGAGCATCAGGCCAACTTCTCAAGCACTTTTCTTCTGCTTCCATCATGATGGACATCAAATTCTACTTTGTCAGCCACTGAAAATGGACTGAGCCAGAGGCTCTCCAGGCTGCTCCAGGCCCTCAGCCTTGGAATGGGACTACAACATTGGGCCCTCTCATTCCAAGGTTTCCAGCATCTCGGGTTTAGAGTCTGCTGGTTTCTCTGGCTCCTCTCCTAACAACAAGTGGCCATTGTGGGATTACCCAGCTTCCAGGTATGTGAGCCACTTCAATAAACTTCATAACTGTATGCTCAGAATATACTTGGAACTACAGCTGCCTCTTTCCTGTTAGTACATCTGTGACTCTGCAAAGTCCCTGCCCTTGCTTGTCCTTGTTTAGGCTCTGATCTGGTACCAACTGTATCTGAGTGATGGGCACCAGAGTACCCTGGCACTTCTGAGCTCTGCCTAGGGACTTCACTCTAGCAAACAGAACCTGACCTGGACAAAAACCATTAGAGATCAGGACATATCCATACACTGGCACACTCCTGGCATAAAGGACCTCACTAAATACCTTTGCAAAGCCTATATTGTGCAGGATTCTTGTACCGCCTACCGGGCCATCCCCACACTATCAAATCTTTCTTGAGGCCTTTGTTGTCAAACCAAATATAGCACTACATTGTCTGGCCTTCCACCCATTCTGGCTGAATAAAGGGGCCTGGTCCCCAGGCTAGGGGCGCAGGGCTCCAGTGGCCTCCTCAATGCTATCTCACCACTGCAGCCCACACTGGGAACCTTCTGCTCCCCCACCCCCAGCTCTGCTCCTGAGCCTGTGGCTGCACCATTGATACCCTCCCATTCTTTTCCAGAGGTTCCCACGAGCATGTCACTAACCATTTCCTGGGCCTTATCACCAGGCAGGGAAGAAAGGGAGCGCCTTTGAAAAGTGGAAACAAAACATCAGGCCTCATTGTTGTGTGACTTCCCGGTCACAATCAGGCCTCTCCATCACTCAACATGCAGAGACTACAAACGCAGCCTAATACAGACACTCAGATTGGCAATTTGACCAGGACATTTATTGTTCCGTATCTGCAATCTCTGCTCTGTGTGTTTGTGGCTTTTAAACCTTCCTTTTCATTGCACTTCCCACCCACTCTGCTTGGAGTAAAAAAGCCCGTGTCCACTGGCTAACTTCAAGGGGCCACTAAGTCAATTTGTAAAATTTGAGGTGCCTTCTTCTCATCAGAAACTCATGGGGGAACGGCTTTGCACTCGCTTTAATTTTTGTACTTTTCCATCCTCGTCCTTTCAGTACCTTTAGTTCCCTCTGCAGTCATGCTCTCCCCCTCCTCCCCTGCTCTCACTGTATAACTAAACCTAGCTGCTTCTTGTGGTAAATGACGACATTCATTTACTTTTTAAATTTACTGTTGCTCCTTCAACACACACAGGTCTGCGTAGTCTGGGGAAATGGTGGGGAGGAACCTGTCAAACCTCTGATGTTGAAGAGAAAAAGGAGAATGGAGTGGCCTGCCCAGTGGTACATGGAGACTTGGTGGCAGTCTGCCTGGAAATGCTGTGCCCAGAGCTGTGTGTTAAGAACTCTCTGAAGAGCCTGGAAAGACAAGTGAACAGGAAAAGCACTTTCCACACAAGCAAAGGGGATGGAGAGAACCAACTTACAAAGTTGTCCTCTGGCCTCCATATACACACTATGGTGCGTGCATATGTGTGTGTGTGTGTGTGTGTGTGTGTCTGTATACTGTTACGTGTGCAATTGCTCATGTGTTCAGGTGTGTGGTGTAGAGAACAGAGGTCAATCTTGAGTATCATCTCTCTGGATGCCATCTACCTGGTGGGGTTTTGGTTTGTTTGCTTGTTGATTTTTTAAGACAGGGTTTCGCTCACTTGGAATTTTCAGATAAGGTTTCACTCACTGACTTGGAAATGACACATTAGTTTGGGCTGCCTGGCCACTGAGGCCCAAGCATCTGCCTGCCTTTACATTTTGGAGTTAGGATAACAAGCAAGCATGTGCTACCACTCCTGGCTTTCTTCTGTGCATTCTGGGGATTGAACTCAGGTCCTTACGTTCGCATGGCAAGCGCTTACTAACTGAGTCATGTCTTCAGCCCTGGGAATCAATACTTCATACATAATCAGTCACCTTGCAACAAGTGAATTCAATAAGACCATGACTGCCACGTTCAGCAGAAAAGGTGGGGCCTGCCAGGTCTAGACAGTAGCCTGAATTCTCAGGGGAGTCTCTGAAAACACAGATCCAGAGGCTCCAGAATCAGGATGGGTGGGTAAAGACAAAGTATTATGGGGTAGGTGGGTACCTACCAGACATCTCTAAACTGCACTAACATCCAAGGTCGTATGTTGAAATAATTCTAAAAAGTACCAGTATAGTGCCTGGTACACAGAAGGAGCTCTATAGTGGGTGATTTCTGCCACAGTGCCAAAGAGGACAACTTTGTGGAGTTGGTTCTCTTCATTCCCTTTGCCTGTGTGGCAAGTGCTTTTCCTGCTGGCCTACCTTCCAGGCTCTTCAGAGAGTTTTTAACACACAGCTGGGTACAGCATTTCCAGGCACACTGTCGTCAAGTCCCATGTGCCACTGGGCAGGCCACTCCATTCTCCTCTTTCTCTATAACATCGGAGGTTTGACAGGTTCTTCTCTGTGGTTTCCCCAGAACAGCCAGACCTGTGTGTATCAAAGGAGCAATGGTTAATAAAGTTCCACATCCTCCTTCATTTGCCCTGAGACATCAACCAGAAGCAGCCACCACCAGCTGACCCTATACAGTGAGAATGGATGAAAAGAGAGAGCAGGGAGGGGACGGGAAGGTAGGGAAAAAGTGGGAGGAGGGAGGAGAGATATATGGAGGGAATGAAAAGAACAAAATGAGGAATTTTAAAAAGTGAGGTCTGTAAACAGGGCTGTTTCCTGTCATTTTCAAGGGAACACAATACTCTAGTCATTGAGAACAAGTTGTCCCCAAGCTTCAGTGACTTAATAAAGACACTGTGTGTCAGGGACTTAGAACCTTTGCAATAGTCTCTCAAGACCAGGCTTATTTCCGTCTTCCAATTCTCATACATTAACTAGAAGCAACACAGGATGCCTCCATCCTCAGACCATTGATCTGTCCTCCACTTGACGTAGCTGCAAAGGAGGCTAGGAAGTAGAAGGGGAACATGTGGAAATTCGGGAAGGATTGCTTGCCTCTAACTACTCAGCAGAGCTCTTGTTCTCTGAGGACTGAGTTGAGAAAGGACTGGAAAATCCCAATGGGAGAAGATTGGAGATAGCCCATGTCAGGGATGATGGATGGAGTAGGGAACCTGGTCTGACTAAGTCAACCTTTGACTGTAAGATCTGACATCTGTGCCTAAAACTGTTCCTATGAATGTGAAAACTAGTTTCTCCTGGTCTGTGTATATACCAGCCTCTCACTGGGAAATGCCATTGCTGTTATGACATGACAGAGGGGTTAAGGTGACTAAGACTGTGTCACTGTCTGAAGTCAGTGGTAACCATTCAGAAGTCATATCGAGTGGTGCATAGAAGGATGAGCAAGATTGTGCCCTGATTGAGAAAGGATCCTAATAAAGTCATATCCAGGGACCACCCCCACCAAGGATAACCCCTGAAAGAGTCAAGGCTCTCCAAGTCAGTATCTTTGCCTCTCTTCGAGGCTGATTTAGTCAGTGAGCTTTCCTGTTCTTCTAGCATAGTGATCTTATCGCAGCAGATTAAAAATGAGAATGGGCTCATAAAACATACATGATGGTCTCTCATGGGCTCATAAAATCAGATAAGTGCTCTGCTCCAGAGAATCCTAGATCGAGTTTACACTCCTCTCTCTCTCCCCATAATGGAATTGTCAACAGCACATAATTGGAGTTAAAAAATTCTGTCGCTTGTAAAGTTCAACATAAAGCATTGATTGTCTGATCCCAGGGCTGCCCAGAGGAAAAGCAGATAATGCCACAGGTGGCTTAGTCTTTTTTGACCTCAGGTAGCTGTTCCATGTTTTCCACAAGGCTTGGAGCAAAGGTATCGAAAGAAATCATGTGAACTAGACTATCCATCTCTAGATGTTTCCCTCTGCCTTCCCAATGATACCTGACAGACTCTTCTGCACTTGAGTCCAGCTAGTAACCAGGCATAACATGGGCCTATGCCCAGCACTTATGAGTATTATGTTAGTCAGTTCTCTTACTGCTGTGACAAAATGCCTAGCAAGAGCAGCTGAAGGAAGGAAGAGTTTGTTTGGGCTCACAGTTTGAGGGGACAGCCCACCATGGTGAGGAAGGTATGGCAGCAGGAGCCTGAGACAACTGGTCATTTATCTGGAGTAAGGAAGCAAACAGAGATCAATACTGGTGCTCAGCTGGCTTAATAGCTGAATGGTGTCACTCACTTTCAGGGTGAGCCTCCCTGCTCATTTAAGCCTTTCCAGAAGCTCCTACATAGACGCACCCAGAGGAGGTGTCCCTGTGCAGATCCTAGTTCCAGTTCTACAGATGATGAAGATTAACCATTCCACATGTCTTTCTGAGAGTGAGCATGATGGGAAGGGAAAGGGGTGAGTTCAATGAGCATGATGGGAAGTGAGAGGAGTAAGTTCTCACCACATCAACCCTGCCTCGTGCTACAGTTCTCAGACAAGGGGACTGAAGGGGCTAGTTTTGAATAATGAGGCTCATTCTTGACAAGGTCTGATTCTGACCAAGTTTCTACCTTGAGTCCCAAGCTTGATGACTACCACTGTCCCTGTGATGCCTGAGTCCTTTAATACACACTTAGAAAATGAAGACCATCCACTAGGTTATCAATTGTGGAAATCCTCCCTGAGCTTAACCAAGACCAGCCTCAAGGACCTCCTTCCAGCCTATCAGACCCCTGGAAACTCACTTCCAAGGATACTGGCCTTCTCCTACTGTGTGGATAAATCTTCCATCCCCTACTTGCCTATAAAGTTCTGGCTGCTGTTAGTTTACAGAATCCTGAGTCCTTCCCATTGTAGCATGGACAGAGAGAGGAATTCTCTCCGTATGAACATCATCACTTTCATTGGACTGAATGTGTCTTAGCTAATGTTGATATCAACCTGGAGTTCTACGCTGCTAGAAGACACATTTTTCCTGGACACAGTATTGACACTTGTTCCCTCTTTACACAGCTGACTCTGAGGATGGCTGGCTCTCTTCTCACTAAGTCTGTTTCTTCCTAGACCTAAACTTAGGCAGGGCATCCTTTCAGTCTGCCCACTTGCCTATAACCACAACCTCCAGTCTGAGACTTAGTGCTACAGCATGGCACACAGACCACTGATTTATCCCCCGTTACACATTACTGTCAGTGCTTGCTTGTTCATGTGACCCCTGGCTAACCTCTAGAGAACAAGGACCACTTTTGACCAGAGTCTGGATCAAAGTATGTGATCAGTAAGTATGCACAGAAGCCACAATGAGCAAACATTTGTTTGTGCCTGCTTAGCCTATTTGTAAGCAGGCAAGGACTCTGCCGTATGTGTTCTCATACATAGCACAGGGTGGCTCACTGATTCTGTGACCTCCTGGGATGGGCTCTAAAACACAACTGAGACAGAATAAATGTCTGGTGGTTCTGTTTTGACTGGTGACAAGAGTTGCGAGCTGATTAATACATTTAAAGTGGGGATCAATTTGTCTTTTCACATCCTCTTAGCCTGATTGTAATGAGTAGATCTTTTAACATAATGAAAACTGCATATTTCACTCAAATTCACAGTTTTGCATTCCGGAGGAGATGACATGCTGCTTTTTATTTAACGTTAAAATGAGGTGTATGCTCTCATCTTGAGAGGCTAGGGAAGTTGAGGAGCCATTGGTCTGCTCCAAGGCCAGTAGTATGGCACTGTGTCCTTTGGATTGGGCTCTGAAAATTGAGACCCAGAATTACAGAATGGCAGAGGACCTTTTCAGCCAACTTGCCTTTCTATGTCTTGCCTAGACCATGGCTGGCCTAAAGTCAGCCCAGACAAGGGGCTTTCTTGCTTTGACGGCTTTGACGGGATATTCCACAGCAAGCTCACCACTGTCTTTTTAAATATTTAGTACCCAAGTACTAAATTAATCATTTTATTGGTCCAGAGTCAATCTCTGTCCTGTTTTGATTTATGTAGATATACCTTTGCATTTTCTCCTTCTGTTTCTCCCCCAACTTTCATCCTTTTTAAACTTTTGTTTAATTTTCCCTGAAAATGTTCACTATCACAGCAACAACCCACAGTTCTGCAGGACATTAGAGCTGTCTTGGTGTCATCATACCCAAGGACAGACTCAAATGAGTGGAGTCCTGCCAGTTCTCTGGTGCCACTGCTTTCTTCCCTTGGAAGGGCCTGATCCCATGGAGATAGTGTCCTGTCCAGTCTGCACACCTTTCTGCCTCCAGAACTTGCTTGGCACACTTGGGACCTCAGTGCATACTGAGTTAATTGATGTATGTGTGAATAGGTGCAGGGATTTTATCAAATGTCTGCACTGCTGCCCATGGCTGGTCCTACCTAAGCATCTCTCCCTGAAGCAGGATACAGGAATGAAGGTAAACATGGAGAAAGAGACTTTCACTGTCATCCTGGTGTGTCAGAGAAGCTCTGGAGGTGTGAGGAGGCTGTGCTCTTGCTGTGGGGACCAGAAAAGTGGAAGAAACCAGAGAACAAAGGAAAGAAAAACTTCACAGAGAAGGGGAGCAGAGGGAGGGAGGGCTTACCTGCATTGGTACACAACAGTCCCACCGGCCCAGCCACACCTCTGTACAGGATCCCCAGGAGGTGACCTGGCCATTTTACCCAGATACTCCTTTAGTGCTCCAGCCCAGATGCAAACGAGTTTTCTTCCTGCGAAACAAGTCTGTGCAACCCGATCAAGGTATAGAGGAAGATATCTGATTTTGCAGAGATGCTTAGTGGGGTGCGGCAGGGGCTCCCCAAGGCAAAAGAGAGAGGAGTGGAAGGGTTAGGAACAACTACCAGTCTCTAGCTGCATCTTAATGCACCACCCATTCTCCCAGGCTTTGTTTGTGTGGTCACCACAGAACATTCTGTGCCCTTGCTCATTCACCCCCAGCAACAAAAGAAACAGTGACTGAGGATAAGCCAGATGTAGCAGAGTAGTGGGAACCCAAACCAAGAAGAATTCACTCTCCATAAATTATGCTTTAATAGATGTCAATTATTAATTCCTAAATAAATATTTGTTAATATTCAAAAGAGTTTGCCTACTAAGAAAAACTCAGGCTACACAGAATAATTAGTGCTTCTCACTGTGTGTGATGGCTGCGGCCCATGATTTTTTTTCCCCTCCTCTTCAGAATCTTTATTTTTTTTCCTGAAGTGTGAATGCCTGAGTGTGTGGGGTTTCCTGGGGAGTGTTGGCTTGCTCTCCACAGGGTAGTTTGGGCTTAAGGTGTTTGCACAGAAAGCAGCTGGCTGCTCTCGTGGAAGTGTCTATGCTGGTCCCTGGGTCTCTTTCTTTTTTGTACTGTAAGTTTGTGAAGAACTGAAGCATGTCTAGAGAGGAAATTGTAGACCTAGTGAAAACAAAAAGCCTAAGAAAAGTACTGTCTGGTTTATGAAAGACCCAATATAACGTATTAGTTTTGTGTTCCCTGGTGAGCTGAGATAGGCAGGCATGGAAGGGCATCATCAAAAGAGAATGCCTGAGTCTCTGGCGGTGAACAGACTGGTGCTGAGGGTGATATGAAATATTCCTGGCCCAGGGGAGAGTGAAATCAGCTCACAAGAGAGTTCAACCAAATGCCAGGAGGACTTGGAGAAGCTGGAAACCACATTAAGTCAGGTACAGGAAGATGAAGAGATGTATGCAGGAAATAGAATTTAACATAGATTGGTGGAAAGGTAGGGTTTTAGCAGGCAAAGATGGCTTGAAATTTCTGTTTTAATGGGCATTCATTCATTTGTATATCATATAAGATATATTTATTTAAAGCATCTAGTAGGTACTCGGCATAGTCTGGATGCTGTTGATACCAAAACCCTATAAGCTAAATCACCACTACCAACAACAACAACATCATCAACAATAAAATGCCTCTATAATCTCCCTTCTACTGAGCCTGCATTAGGTCCAACCAGAAATCAATTGGTTATCTCTACAATAGTTGTGCCATTATGGCATCAGTAAGCACCTTTCCCTGGGAAATCAGTATTGTAGCATGCAAGGTCTAAAGCTGGGGAAGACCATCGCTGCCTTTTCTTCCCCAATGTCTCTCTTTGTGCCTTACAGACTGCCTGCTTAATACAGCTGGATACCATGCACTGTGTGCCTGCAGATGCATCGAAGAGCTTCAGGAAGTTTGCATGCAGATCCTGAAGGAGGAGAGTTGACTACTCTCTATTGCTCCCAGGGTTCTCTTACTACCATTCCATGCAGTAAAGTCAGTAGCTCTCACAAGTATCTTTGCACAATACTATGAGCATGATGACAGCCATTGCTCAGTAGTGGTTGTTGCATGGGTTAGTTAAAGAGGAAAGCAGACAAGCAGACTCACCCAGCCCCTTCCAAGGGCACATGGTCCGGTTCCTCTTCTTGACATTGCCTCCCACATTCAAACTGCTATGGGAAAAACCGAGAGTAGGGAAAGCTTAGTCAGCAGTCTGAGAAAAACCAAGGCTGAGTTTTGACTTGACTGTGTCCCAGGCTTCCATAATTTCCTATATTTATTTTTGGGTTATAACTCCATGATAGCCTTCATGTTTACTTTCCTTTTGGAAGATATTTTTACCAGATATGTATGTCACGTGTCATTGGGAAAGGACCATGGTGACACATGAGACCAGTGTAATGATGGCAAGGACATCAAATCTATATTGTGAGGGCAAAGAGCGAAGGTCATTCCACCTCCAGAAAGGATCCTGAAGATCTGTTTCCATGGGTTTTAACAAAGGTGACAGCTCATGCTTTTCAAGACCAATGCTTTTCAACCTGTCTTCAGGCAGGAAGTAGGAAGCAAGAGGCCTGGAGAGTCTGCTGTCCTTCCTGCCTAGGCCCAGAGAACCTAGACATTCCTGAGATGTTGGTGTCTCTGAGCACCCATCTTCCAGATAGAAACATCAACAGTAGCTCATGCCTTTTGGGCTTCCCAGTCATCTTAATGACAGGAATCACAAAGCTCACAAAGATTGTCTATGTTCTTTGAAAAATCTGGGGGAAATAATTTTAGGTTAGGGAAAATACTGTAATTTAATATATTAATATACTTCTCTTTGCATTATTGTCATCATAATTTTAGTCTATTTGCATATGTCTGTACATGTTTATTGATCTATTCATCTGTACCCCTATCTAAATGCTTGAAGGCAGCCCAGGAAGGTCATAGCATGACTTTGGAACCAGAGAGAAAGTCATGTGGGACTCATGATACTCTCTGGTTTCAGGCTCCTTCAGGAATAGCTTGGTGATGGTTGAAGCATTGATTCAACCAAACCTCAGGGGGAAAAAGAGGCCACTGCCTGCATTTGAACTCAAACACAAGGGCACTGCTTGTCCCTCATTTCTTGTTGTAGCTATAAGTAAGGTGAGTATAGAAGGTCCTTAGCCTTCCTCTGGAGTCACTGGAAATTGAAACAGACAGCATGGAGCTGACCACCTTGAGGTGAAGTGATGGGTTGGGGGTGGAGGTGTCTCTGGTAAGGAGAGCATTTATTCTCAAATTTCCCAAGAGGACCCGGGCAATATCATCTGAACCTTAGTCAAGGCTAGCCCTCCAGTCTGCCTTAATTCCTGTTAATTTCCTCCTTTACTCTTCCTCCTTCAAATAGACAGAACCTGGAGACTAATTTTGGGGCTTGAGTCTGAGGAATCAAGATCTTATTTCTTCAACGTGCCTCTGTTGGGCTGGCTTCAAGGAAATATCAAATGATAAGTAGCAGTTTGCTGACTGGAAGAATTTGGAATGGATGAGCTATTTAAAGCTCTGTGAAGCACAACCAGGTTGGCAGAAAGATATTACATCAACAGAGTAGAGAAAAGATTATTTTCTGCACAATAATTATTATTTAAAACAAGAGGGCCGGAGGGACAGCTCAGCAATTCAGAACACTCTTGGCTCTTTCAGAGGGTCCCAGTTCAGTTCCCAAGACACATATCTGGGCAAGTTACAGCTGTCCTCTATCCACTCCAAGGGGAGCTGACGCCATTTTCTGGCTTCTTTGAGCATCCACATATGCATGGCACCCCCACACACACATACACATGGAACACACACACACACACGCATGGCACATGAGCACACACACACACACACAGCGTACACACATACAGTACACATACATAAATACAAATAAAACAAATCTTTAAAAAACCTAGAAGTTGCCTGCCCAATCTGTCTTATTTATGCATTTACATCCAAACCAGAGAGGGAAATGTACAAAGAGAAGAGAAGAAAGCAGAGGCTTGCAGACAGATGCAGGCAGCCAGGGTTCTACATTTGTGCTGCCACAGATTTGCTCCGTGACTCATCTGAAAGCATCCAATCGCTCCCAAGGCACACATACTAGGTGCTCCATTAGTAATGCCCATGAAAGGGAAGGAAGCCGGTGTGGGGTTCACAGCAATATGACAAACCAGTGCAATCCAGCCATAGAGCTTATGAACACTTTAACAAAGGGAAACTAGGAACATGAGCCCATATGTAGACAGCATTTGTAATGCCATAAAAATAGCCTAACAAGATTATATTGAAATATCCCACTATTTAACTTAATAATTTAAATGTTTGCCTAATGAGGTGGACTTGATTGGATTAGGGCATTCACAATTAATTTTGATAGATCGTTTTCTACGTTGGAGGTGCATTCTTCTGAACCAGGAGGTGGAACGGAAGTGCAAAATGTTTATGTTCAAACGAGCATGTGATTTTGCAGAAAACATTAATCCCAGATCATGCACACTAAGTCAATTTCGGAAATGGCTGCTAGAGATATTATTAGAAATTGCTCTTCAAATATAAAAAGCTTGTAATAGAGTTCTGTCCATTTTTCCTTCGGCTGATGGAAGTTGTTTTATAAATATGTCTGTGATGGGATGTTTCTTCATCCCAGCCTTTAGTACTAATTGCAACTTCTAAGCAGTGTAAGTAGCGGCTGTCAGGAACACGCTAAACCCAGTTACAAGCACATCTACCCGACCAGCTTCACTTTTGGGGATGAATTCTGTATTCAGCTATCTCTAACTACACTTCTATGGTTTTCCCCCAGGAAAAGCACTTGACTTAGACACTGTGAGACCCACTCTACTGCTTTTTATGTGAAAGGAAAGACTTCATTACACGTCAGGACACTGCCCCCAACACCTACCTTTTTCTCCTGGTTCTCAACCAGGAGAAACTGCATGTTCTGGTGGAGTCATGAGGAGGCCAAGACAAACGGCCTCTGCAATGGCAGGTTAGAATGTGACCATGAAATACACCCCAGAGTCCAGGGCCAGCAGGCTCCCTAGCACTATTGCTGTCAGGTAAGAATTACATCTATGTTTTCTACCAAAGTTTTGGAGTGCAGAGTGTCTGTCTATCTGTTTCTCATTACTCTAATGAAATACTTGAACAAAGCAACTTAAGTAATAAATGTTTTATTTTGGCTCATGACCTGATTTGGTACAGTATGTCATGGCTAGAAAAGTGTGGCAGAGCTTATGGCAATTGATGGCAGTGGCAGTTAGACCCTGGGGATGCTTGCTCGCATTCCCGAAAACAAGAAGGGGACAGAACTCCACAGGAAGTGGGACCAGGCTATCATCCTCGAGGCCAACTTTCCCTAGGACAGCCCAGCTAGACTGCATTTTCCAAAGGTTATACAAACTACTAACGGCTGCCATCATCTGGGGACCAGGTGTTCAAAACCAGAGTCCAGTGAGGATATTTCTTGTTCAACACATGATAGTGTCCATGGGCAAGGGGCTTCTGTAGATTTATTGGTTTCAGTATTCTC